GATCATATGACCATGGGACACTGCAATGGTCAGAAATCTAGGCCAGTTGCCAAGTGCCCAGATTATGATCACGTGATTGTGGGGGCACTGAAACAGCCAGAACTTCAAGAACCGGTCGTAAGTACCACTTGTTCAATGCTGTTGCAAGTTTGAATGGTTGCTGAATGGAGTGGTCGTTAAACAAAGACCACTGTAATTCTGCTAAAACAACTCTCAGTCATCAGAAAGTAAGGTACTGCATTCTGACTTAACTGAAGTTTCTGAGTAATCTTCAAAGGCAACCCCAAGTAGAGTCCATTTTAGTACATGTAGTCCTCAACTTATGACCACAATTGGGACCGGAACTTCTGTTGCTAAGCGATGCGGTAATTAAGTGAGTCTTGCCCAATTTTATGACCTTTTTTGCTGCAGTTGTTAAGCAAATCACCATGGTTAAGTGAAACACATGGTCATTAAGTGAATCTGGCTTCCCCCATTGATTTTGCTTGTTGGAAGCCCCTGGGAAGGTCATAAATAGCAATCACATGACCCTGGGATGCTGCAACTGTCGTAAATACATGCTGGTTGCCAAGCACCCAAATTTTGATCATGTGACCATGGGGACGCTGCAACAATCGTAAGTGCAAGGACTGTTCACAAGTCATTTTTTACAGCACTGTTGTAACTTCTAACAGTCATTAAACGAATGATCATAAATGAGGACTACCTGTAGTTCAACCTGGAGGTGATGGGGGCATAAGTTATTACTTGTGTTCTTCTCTCTTTTCCAGGTTGCTTCTTCATGCTTTCTCATTTTGTCTACTTTTCCCTTTCTTGGCATAGTTGTAAAAGCTAGGAAATGTTCAAGAGGCAGGCAAACATTCTTTATTTTTAACGATGCATATGAAATATGGTGTAACAGTTGGGGTGTTAAACTAGGATTGGAGAGATCCAGGTTCAATTCCATACTCTTGTGGAAGTTTACTGGGTGACTTTAGTTTGGTGCAATAGTGTAAGTGTGGGTGAGTCAAAAACGCCAAGATGGTAGAGCAGTGTCACAATGCAAGCCCACTCCTTGCTATTTTGGCATATTAGATTTCACCTGTATCCTCAATATTTCAGAAATGAATAAAAACAAGATTTTAAAAAAAATTATATTATCACTGGCCAATAACCCTACCCCTTTTTGCTTCTACTTCCTATTGCTGAAGAGCCTACTGTGCCTAAAGTGGTTTTTACCAATCTGGTGTCTTCCAAACCCATCATGCCAACCAATTCATAGTCATTGGCCATGCTGTCAGGATAATGGGAGTTACTGTCAATGAAACTAAGGAATCCAGGTTGGAGAAACTTATCCTAAAATAATTTAAAACAGCCTGTCTTCCATAAATGCCCATTATCACCCAATGTTGAGTCAAGTGCACAGTTTTTCAAAGGAGACATATCATACATTTGGTCTCAGAATCATGGGTGAAGGAGTTCACTGTGTGGCTGCCCAACACCCAGAGAATGGAAATACTCTTTTATTTTGGAAGTAATTCATAACTCTATTCATTCCTATGCAAATTGAAGCCTGCTAATAAGCCCCACTCCCAGTGCTGCTGTGCTGCCTTGTCATGGTATGGCGGTGTTCCTAGGAGTAATGAGCAAAGAACACCAGTAACCTTTGCCAAAAGTATATAATCCCAGCAGGATTATAAACCCAAGCCATGAAAGTCATCCCAACTGCCCAGCTAAAGTACGCTGGCACCTATATTGGGCAGCAGTGATATAGGAAGATACTGGAGACAGATTATTCCTTTAGTAACAACAGTAAAGGCATCATTTCATACTTCATGGGAGACTGGTAATGGTAATGGTAAACACACTTCTGTATTTTACCAAGAATAAAACATGGACAGCCAATATGAAGTTATTGACAATAGAATGCCAGATAATGGGCCCTTCAGGTTGGATGGCACTCAATATGCTACTGAAGAAGAGCTGAGGATCTTTCAGAGTACTAATGAGACATCTAGTTTTATGTTTATATTCAATTTGAAATTGACAGAACACAAAAGAGAGACGTGCTGCTTGTCTTTAGAAACTGGAAAACCAACGTTAGAAATATTAAGGAGGAAAATGTGGTTGAACTTTATGGCTGAGGAAATCAAATGAAGCAGAACAATGACTCAGCAATTTCTGCTAATCCAATGATTTCTTCATTGCTAACATTGTCTTCAAACAAGTAACAGTACCAAATGGAGTACACAGAAATCAAATAGACTACATAATTGGTACAAGGAGATGGAAGAGCTCTGTTATAACAAAAAAGACATGGTGAGGGGCTGTTTGCAGAACAAATCAGAACTATCCATGTGCAAGTTCCAAGTTAAGCTCAAGCAGAAGAAGAAAGCTAACCAGTTTTCACAGTATGATCTTGAGCATAGTACCCACCATTTTCAAACAGAACATCAGGAATCATTTTGAAGTTTTGAACCTCATTGATAGGGAACCAGAACTGTGGAATAAATTTAAAAAGTTGCTAAGGATGAATGTGAAAGAGACTGCCAAAGACCAAAAAAACAGAAAAGAGCAACTGGATATCAGAATAAACCATGGAAATTGCTGAGAAGAGAAATCAAAGCCCAGACAAAAATCTCAGGAAAGAATAAAGAGTTTAAGAGAGCTGTTAGAAGAGACCAGCAGCAGTATTACAATGACATCTGTAAAGACATCAAAGATAGAAACAGACATGAAAAACAAGATAAGTCTTCCAAAAGATCTTGAATTTCTGTACGAAAGGATGCTAATGAACAGATAGTAACTGATTCCAAGAAGATCAAACAAAGATTGAAGAAGTATACTGAAAATCTGTACAGTAGAGATGTTGACATCCAAGATATATTAGAAGATATTCGCTACTTACAAGGACCTCTAGTATTAGAAGATCAGGTTAGATCAGCACTCCAGTCATTATCAAATCAGAAGGCTACTGGAATTGATGGAATATCTTCAGGAATATGGCAAGCAACAAAAGAAGAATCTGTAAAGGATCTAACCAAAATATGCTACTAAATCTGGTGAGCAACACAGTGGCCAACAGATTGTAAGATGTCAGTCTAGATACCAGTATCTAAGAAAGGAAACCCTGCAGAGTATGCATCCTTAATTTCATCTGCTAGTCAAATAATGCTTAGAATCACTCAATGCAGAATACAGTCCTACATAGAAAGGCAGAAGCCAGATATTCAAGCTGGCTTTAGAAAAGGTAGAGGAACACAAGACACTATTTATAATGCATGCTGGATAATTGAAAAAGCCAGAGAATACCAAAATGAAGTTAATATGTGCCTCTTTGATTATAGAAAGGCTTTTGATTGTGTAGATCATGTCAAGCTGTGGAATGGGAATCCCAGAACATCTCACTGTCCTCGTGCAAAACCTATGCACAGGTCAAGAAGCCACAGTGCACACAGAACATGACACAAAGCTGTATACAGGTAGTCCCCAGGTTAAGAACACTCAGTTTAAGGACAACCCACAGTTCAGAATGGAGCCTGTTGTAGCAAAATTTGAGTTAAATACACAGTGGTTCGAGTTAATTACCCAATACAACTTATAAGCATTATACAGTAATACTGTTCTGGCTTATGCACAAATTTGACTTAAGGACAGACCTTCGGAACAGAACTTGTTCTTAAACTGGGGACTACCTTTATTCTCTTCCTATTTATTCAACCTATACAGTATGCTGAAATATATATTGAGGGAAGCTGGATTGGAAGATGAGCAAGGTTTTAAAACTGGAGGAAGAAACATCAATAACTTGTGCTATCTTGGTGGCACTACTCTGATAGCTGAAAGAAACTCTAATAATGAAATTCAAACAGCACAATAAAAACAATGGGTCTAAAAAGTTAGGCTTTGAAAAAACAGGATAAAAGAGTATTGATGCTTTTGAACTTTGGCGTTGGAGAAGATTCCTGAGAATACCAGGGACAGCCAAGAAAACAAACAAGCAGATCATTGAACCAATCAGCCCAGACAATAGGCAAAAATGACCAGGCTCAAATTGTCCTACTTGGACATTTTATACAAAAACCCAGCTCTCTGGAGAAGCCTGTAATGCTGGGAGAAGTGGAAGGAAAGAGACGACAACCAGCAGCAGCGACGGATGCATCCTTGGAAGAGCTGGAGGACCAGACTGGGAACAAATCGTCCTGGAGAAAATGTATCTAAGTGGTCCCTAAGAGTCGACACCGACTCGATGGCACACGATCAATCGATAATTAAAAAACACGCCCACGCCCCCAGGTGCATCATCTCGTACACCTGATTTAGGTCCTCTCATCTTCGACCCTGAACTCGCGCACGTTCCCTTCCTCCTATTGGCTGAACGGGCTCCACGAGTCGTCCCGCTCCCCTTGCGGATGCCCCTCGGCCTAAACCCCGCCCCTTCATTTTCATTGGCCCCCTCGGTGGTTCTATTCCCCGCCCCTGCGCGTCTTCGACCGCTCCTTTGGCGCGCTGCTTTCCGTCCGGGCGAGCCTCGCCTCGCCTCGCCTTCCCTTCCCCTCCTCGCCGATTGGCCAGTTCTTTCCCGTTCCTGACCATTCCCTTCGGCCT